TCACGTCCTCGGACTCGGAATTATGCTTTTCTATGGCAATACTATTAACGCCTAAACAGAGCCTGCGGTGGTCAGGTGGTACAGCGGTCACGTGGTACAAGTCGTAGCTCTCCGAAAACTCCCAGTTCACAAGTTGTAATTACGAGTTCTACGAGGACGTGAACGCTTTTTACAAGTTGGAATCTCGTAATTACGGGAATTCCGATATGGCGTGAACGCACCTTTAAATCCCGGTTACTATAGAAACAGTTAGCGTTCTGAGACGTGCGCCTAGGACTGCACATGTGCATTGGCTGGTCTAGCCTGAAAAATAAGCTTTTTTTAATCCTATTTGAGCAAAATAAACATTTATAAGACAGTTGTCAGATTTCATTTGTGATTTCCAATATGAAATTTAAGTTTGGCGAACAGTTTTGGAGAATTAGATTTTTCCCCATTCAAAGAGATAGGAGCTGCACTTGCATGCCCGAGAGGCGTTTCAAAAATGGCCGCCGAGTGACATGACTTGCCTTAAAGGGACTTTGCTTTCTATGAATGGGCCTTTGAATAATCGATTCACCCGATTCGTTCAAAACACAGATTCATTCAGAAACTAAACACCGCTGTGTTGCTCGGAGACGCAGAACAGTTCTGCTGTGGCTTTTTAGGTAATATTTTCGTTGGCAAAAACACACAATATGGTGTTTAAAATGTAGCACAATATTAACTTCTTATTTAGGCTACTGAACTGTTGTATAAAATCACATTTATATATATATAGTTCTAAATACTGTTTTTATATAGCATGCAAACATTGTTTAGAAAAGCTCCAATGCATCTTACATGGTAAATTAAATACAACTCTCACCATAACAAATAAACAGTCCTATGATTTCCCAAAGTTATAGCACTTGGTGCTCCATTGCTGCCTTTGCTTCAAAGCATAGTGGGAAACATGGATGGCAGTGCTGGTTATTTCAGCATTAGCTTGCTTCAACACTCTCCAAGAATGCTATCAAGAGCAATTTGCCCAATGAGAAGAATGGATACTTGTATATTTTTGTGTTTCTTTCTGATTTGGTGATCAAAATGTGTAATCATGGCTGTGTTGCTCTCTGAAAGCCTCTTCAGCTGTGTTTTGTGTGCATGTTGATTTCATCTTTCCCCCAAAAACCCAGTCCAATTAACCTCCTGCTTGAAAATCAACTTGAAAGCTTTTCCATTAAATGTTTTCCTTGTGCACATCAACTCAACAAATAGGTTTAAGAACTCTGAATCACAACCACAGTAATCAGAGACTGTTTTTCCTATGATGTGAATGACATTGAATAATCTACTTGGAGGAGGAATGAAAAAATTGTCACTATTTATATGCTAATGTTGGAAGTCCTGTTTTTCATATGTAGGTGGTCAGTGGCACAAAATTAGCCTGCTCTACTTTTCTGCACCTGTGGTTTTAGTAAGGAAATTTCTTTGTGGTGCTGTGCTGGGAAAATGTTTAAATATGAAATATCATATTATATTGTTGTAATTATGTTTTGCCACACAAGGAGAGTGTCTTATTAGTGTAGAAAATAGTGTAAAATCATAGTAATTATCTTTGACAAATGATGTTTTGATTAGGAATATGCTCTTTATATGGTTTCTTTACCTGTGGGTTTTCTTTTCTTTTCTTCTTTTTTTCTTTTCTCTTTTTGTTTGACACTTATGTATCTAACAGAGGTCATTTTACAATAAATAAATGACGTATGTGGATGAGAAACTATGATTCAAATGAAATGTATGAATGTAAGCGCAGGTTAACACTGCCCTCTGCTGAATACAGTTATTTTTTATTATAATGCAAGCAGGAGAGCACAGGAAGAGCATTTTCCAGATCTAAATCTCATGCAAAATAAACTATATATATGTATTTCTAATTTGAATTCTAATTTCTAATTTGATTTGAAATCTCAGTAGCATTTTACAACTTTTGAACAAAGAATCTAAATCTAAATACTATGTGACTTTGCCAACTTGCTATCAAACTAAATCCAATTTGTCACAAACAGTGATGGAATATATTACCGCCAGCCTTATAGAAAAACATCAAATTGCCATCAAAATTGTGAAAGGCAAGCCATATTTGTCAGGCATTATTAAAAAAAGTGACTACAATATAGGGGGTTACTAAAATAAAGTGGTATTTGGCTGGTCATGGTCAACATTACAGCTCACTTTGGAGACATGCTCAAAAATGATTTTTATTAGACTATGAATATGACTCATGAGAGAGAACAGCATCTTAAAACTACTTCCAAAAATGACTTGCATATAGCTCTTCTATGGTTAACAAATTTTCTGGAGATTGCAAACATTTTTAGATTAGTAGGCTGAATTTTTGTCAAAAGGCACAAGTGTTGCATTATATTTTATAACATTATTTCCGATATTTATGCAATGAATTAATTTTGTTTAAATATATTATTAACATTTGAAAAAAAAAAAGCCATTTTGGTGTTGTTGACTAGGGCTGGCTATCCATACAGGTTTCCTGATTCAATTTTAATTCACAAGCTCTCGATTTACATTTTGGTTCCATTTAATTTCTATTCATTTCTGTATATATAATGTCCATTTTTTACATACTGTATGAAAGAAACCCTCACTGCTAATGCTGTAAATATACAGAGCAGTGTTTCAGGCTCATTCAAGCAGATCTTGTCTTTATGAACCATTCATTAAATAAATCAGCTTAGAATTCATTTGTTCTGAGAATCAGCTACATCTGCTGCATCTTATGATTTGAGCCACTAAAACGAGCTGGCTCATAAGAGTTGTTTGTGCAGACTACACGGGTAGAGTTGTTTTTGTTTTTTCTGTGCAGCCCACAAGTGTAATGCAACAAAAAGACATTTCTTCACATTATTCGCAGTAGACTCTTTTGAATCTATTGGGTCACATTCAGTACAGACTGCAAGCTCAAATTCACGGCTCAGGTAAAATATGATTTATTTCGCCTCGGTGCAGAATAAAGGAGGTGAGTTTCACAGAAGTAAAGCGGTGCAGAAAACACTGATACATACATCCATCAAAAATTCTTAGAATAATATGAATATATTAATTAAAATAAAATTTGTATTTATCTAGTAGTATCCAGCATTTTCACCCAAAAATATTTTGCTGTAGTGTGTCAGTAGGAAATATCAGTTTACATTCCCAAACATTCATTTTGCCATTAATTGTAATAATCCAGTGAGATTTTTGTTTGCACAAGGAGTCTGACAACAGCCAGTGCTTCACACAGAGATCTGATCTGATCTGATCATCATCCAGTCTGTCTGGAACACATGAAGAAACAGAACAACCTGAGACAGACTCAATCCAGAAGAACTGTGACAACGTCTCCAAGATGCTTCAAGAAACCTACCTGCTTTTGAAAGCATCCTCACTTTACAATTTTTACACAAGTGCCTAAATCTTTTAACAGTACTGTAGCTTTGCAGGTAGGTCTCTTGAAGCATCTTGGAGACATTGCCACAGTTTTTCTGGATTTATTCAGTCTCAGTTTTTATAAATCTATTTTTAAAACACATGCACCTAGCCCTTTGGATGTATTCAAGTTTCTTATATATATATATATATAAAATATAAAGATGTATTCATGTTTCTTATGTTTACATTTACATTTAGTCATTTAGCAGACGCTTTTATCCAAAGCGACTTACAAATGAGGACAATGGAAGCAATCAAAATCAACGAAAGAGCAATGATACGCAAGTGCTTTAACAAGTCTCAGTTAGCTTAACGTAGTACACGTTGCAAGGTTTTTTGTAAATCATATAATAAATAAAAAGAAAACAGATAGAATAAAAAAAGAATAGAGCAAGCTAGTGTTAGAGGCCTTTTTTGCTTTTGTTAATAATAAATAAAAAGAAAGCAAATAGAATACAAAAAGATTAGAGAAGATAGTGTTCGTTTTTTTTTTTAAGAAAACAAGCAGTTAGTAAATGAATAGAGGGCAAGTTTTTTTTTATAAAGAATAGAATTAGAATAGAGAGTGCTAGAGATAGAGGGTCAAATAAAGATGGAAGAGATGTGTTTTTAGCCGATTCTTGAAGATGGCTAAGGACTGAGTTGGGCAGGTCATTCCACCAGGAGGGAATATTTAATTTAAGTCCGTGAAAGTGATTTTGTGCCTCTTTGGGATGGCACAATAAAGCGCCGTTCACTTGTAGAACGCAAGCTTCTAGAGGGCACATAAGTCTGAATACAGTACAATGAGACAGTAAGAATACTATATTATTATTATATTATATATGTGACCCTGGACCACAAAACCACTCATTAGGGTCAGGTTTTTGAAAGTGAGATTTATAAAGCTGAATAAATAAGCTTTCCATTGTTGTGTGGTTTGTTAGGATAGGAGTAGGACAGTATTTGGCTGAGATACAACTATGTGAAAATCTGGAATCTGAGGGTGCAAAAAAAATCTAAATATTGAGAAAATCGCCTTTAAAGTTGTCCAAATGAAGTTCTTAGCAATGCATATTACTAATCAAAAATTAAGTTTTGATATATTTACAGTAGGAAATTTACAAAATATTCATGGAACATGATCTTTACTTAATATCCTAATGATTTTTTAAATAAAAGAAAAATCGATCATTTTGACCCACACAATGTATTTTTGGCTATTGCTACATTGCTGGTCCAGGGTCACATACTGTATATATATGAAGAGTTTATTTGCAAAAACAGATATTCTGTTTTTTATTATGTTATCATGTTTTTACTGTGTTTTATTGTGTTAGTTAGCTGTATTTTTTTTTTTTTTTTTTACTTAATCAAAATAACCCAACTGCAGTTTGATTGAGATTAATTGTAATGCAACAATGAAAAAACATGATTTTTGAAAATTGTTAAAAACGGAGTTATCTGTTTTTGCAAACGAACTCTTCATATATAAATAGCCTATATATAAATGAATGGCAAAATGAATGTTTGGAGATTTCCTTTTATTATCCCTTATTTGTCACTGATCCAAATGTTTCATGTTTGCATCACACCTTTTTCTCGTGCCTTTTGCCAGCTTTCATGTAAAGTTTTAATTCTGCCACACAGACGGCAGTGCATGATAGACAGCAAGGGGCCACTGTGAAACTATGACATTTCTGACACTGGCTGGAATCCCCCTTATGTCAGTACAAACGCCCCTCTCGCTCGGACCCCTACCGGCCAAGAGCCCAACAGCAGGAGGGGCGTCAGTCCAGCAAACAAACTTCCCAGAGAGCCGCGAGGAAACATCAGAAAGTCGCTCGCGCTCCTCCAGAATGAACTTTGGGAACTTGCATCGCTGCCAGTATATAAAGGAATACGGTTTCCAGCTAAATAACATCTCCTGAGCACATTTAGCGCTTGGTGTCTTTTTCATTACCACGAACAACGGATTTGTTTAGTAGGCAGCTGCCTTTCTTCATAGCTTTAACGGACAGCAGTGGTCGCTTTGCTGGGGAAGGACCTCTTCAGTGTAAACGCCTTTACAGATGTCTTTATAATGGAGGAAAATGTCTATTGTGCTTCAGCTTTTTTCTTTTAGTTTGTTTTAACCGGTGAATATTCACAGCAGATGTTTGCCGGCGCCAGCTGGGTCTATTCCATGTAGATTTTGTATAAAACATAAAGTAAAGTTCTTTGGCACTTTAATGAATACATCAGGTGGTAACTAACCGCGTTCAAGTTGGAAAGGATGGCCGGCGTGGTGCGCACCCTGAGCCGGTGTCTGCTGCCCGCTGAGGCCGCTCACGATGACCGGAGCAACGGGAAAGCACGAGACCGTGAGCGCGACGCGAACCGAGAGCGCGAGGCGAAGCGGCGCAGTCGCGAGATCGACGCCACGCTCGCGCGCGAGAGACGCTCGGTGCGGCGTCTGGTGAAGATGCTGCTGCTGGGCGCCGGAGAGAGCGGCAAATCCACCTTCCTCAAACAGATGAGGATCATCCACGGGAAAGAGTTTGACAAGAAAGCGCTGCTCGACTTCAGGGATACGATCTTTGAGAACGTCATCAAGGTAACGGCCTCACGCGCGTGACGTGAGTTTGCGAGGTTTTGTTGTTTCTGACGTCATAATGGTCTGTTTTGTTTGTCAACAGTTTTGTGAATTTGCTGCGTTTCATAAAATTCAGCTTGAATTTGACTAGATGGAGAAAATATTATTTATTAAAGTTATATAGATAGATAGATAGATTCGTCTAAAATGCCACCCTTAGAAATTTGTATTTGGTTTATATATTTAAGAAATAAATTAAAAACACAGACTGACAGATTTGAAATCTCTATAGAAATCTCTATATATCTCTATAGAAATTTTCATCATATATTTAATTATATTTAAGAAATTAATTAAAAAGGTAGGTAGTAGGCAGGCAGGCAAATTGATAGATAGATAGATAGATAGATAGATTTGAAATGCCACCTATAAATTTGTATGTAGTTTATATATTTCATCATAAGAAATTAAATTAAAAACATAGATGGGTGACTGTAAGTGTGGATAGATAGAAAAGTAGATAATTCATAATCTTAATAAAATAATTATGTTGTGTTGCATCAAAACATCCTAAAATTATGTGGTGTCAGGTTGTTTAGTTATTCTAAGGTCACCAAGGCCATGTTTCCTTGCCCAAACATGCCTGTTTCCTGCTGTGACATACAGTTTTGTTGCAATAAGTAGAACAAACATTCTCTACAGAAATGAGAAACAGATGCATTTTTTTTTTGCATTCAGCATAATTAATACTTCCCCAAAGTCTGTGCTTCAGCGATCAGAAAGTGCTCACATGAACTCTCATCACATGTACATGAACCATCTGTCAAACATGCTGACTCACATGAGCTACTATCAACCCTTTCTTTAGCTACATATTAGATGAGTGCAAATATCCAGGTTAGTTGGTTATACAAAGGTTTTGGATACCCAATCCATGTGAAAATGTTCACTTTTTCTCTATCTGACTAATTCATTTTGCTGTTAGTCATGTGATGGTTGCTTTAGGCATCTGCTCTACCGCAAATCAGAATCCCAAGGGATTATTCTTGGGTCATTTCCCTGTAAGCATGTCTATTTAAGGTGTCTGTGTTTAATAACAGTGGCTTGACTCACAGCTCGGAGTTAACAGGAAAGGAGTGAAAATGCATCCCAGAATGTGTGTGTAAGATGAGATATCGGGCCTGGGGCTGTTGGAGTTACAGAGGAACATGAGGAACAATGTTTGGCCTTTCTGGTAGAAGCAACTTTTTTATAACCCAGTAATCACAAATCAGCATCTTAACATTTGCAGGCTGGCAGATGTTCTCTGGTAATTACCACAAGACTAAACTTAGCTGTCCTTACAATTAGCAGTACATTGAGTCACTTTGTTTGGTCTAGGTTCATCCCTGGCTCTGTTATGAACGGAGAGATTGTGTCTGACTTATCATTGTGATCAGCTCATGTGCTTTCTGAGCTCACGTGTCTGAGGATGTCTCAATATGTCCTGATTTTTCCCCTATCTGCGTACTTTCTACACTTGTGTCTTCCTCTCTTTATCTCTTATTTGGTTTTACATTTGGCTTGGGAAGTTTACTGATGGCATCTGATGTGATCATATTAGCTGCTGATGGCAGAAGACTCTAATTACAGCCTGCATCTATGTTACAATAGGGATAGAGAAGATCTAACATTCTTTTCATGTTGTTCAATACGTCTATGTGCTTAACAAGCACTAGTTGGCTGAGTCAGAGCTTTTCTGTGGTGTTTATTTATAAGAGAGCTTTGTTAAAAAAATCAGTGTATTGTGCATCGTCTTGTCACTTGTCATCTTTATGGTACTCTGATTTCATGTTAGATGAGATGTAATTATATGGATCAGTGATATAATGCTGATTATGTCTTATTTAATAATTTCTTATTAAAGTAAACGTGCCCGTTTCCTGCTGCCACATGCACTTTTGTCACAAGAAGTAAAATTAACATGCTCTACACAAATAAAAAACATAAATAAATGCATTTTTGTCAATAATCATTCAGTACACTTAAGGTGCCGAATGATTTATGTATTGAATTATGTATTGACATTTTTCTCAGTCATTAAATTTAAACTTTTGGTAACACTTTAGATTAGGGAACACTATTCACTATTAACTAGTTGCTTGTTAACACATGCATATTACCTTTTTTTAATTTTTTGCTGTTTATTAGTACTTATGAAGCACATAATAATGCATGACCAAATTCTAGACCAAATACAACAACTTCCTTACTTACTATTAATAAGCAGCAAATTAGAAGTTTATTGAGGGAAAACTCTTCATTAATAGTGAATGTGTGTTCCATAATCGAAAGTGTTACCAAATGTTTTGAAAAAAAGTTTTTCAAACCAACTTGAATACAAAGATAACAGTTCTAGGAACCTGGTGCATGTGTTTTAAACTAGATTTTTGACATTGTTCCATATATAATAAATGCTTTTCTTCTCTATTGGACATAAATATGTCTGTATTCTAGCAAACTATGATGTTCATTTATTCAGTGGGAAACTAAAATGATAAATATTCCTTGGTCTTGTTATCTTACCCACAGTTTGGTCAAAAGCAGTGCTGCCAGATCAGAGGTTTGGCTCAGTGGAAGAGTTTAGCTTTATATGGAAAAGGTTATGTTTCTCAGGATGTCAGAGCAGAGGTCCACGTGTTCCATCTCCATGGTGTTTGTCCACCACCAAACATTTAGCCAAACTGCCAGACATCACATCATGCGTCCTTCCCACAGCCAGAGAAATGTGTAAGCTTTTGTCCATAGTTTTCAGGACAAGAGTGACTCCAGGAGCCCATGTCGTACAGGGACAAGACTGAGGCAGAGCTAAAAGATTCACTTTGTTTCCACTGGGACCGATTGCGATCAGATCCTCTTCTAACCCACCCGGGGAGCAAAGCAGCAGAACTGAGCTTTCTTTGTGTTGATGATGTCATCTCAGTTTATTTTCAATAAGACCCCTTCACCACAAAGTGACTATAGTGAGCTGAGGAAAACATTATAATGTAGCTCTGATCTCTTTCATTAGCTCCAGAGGCAAATGCTGAGACCTGTGTTTTGGAGCATCTATGTGTATACGAGAATTGAAGTCAGTTTTGTGACTAACTGCACTAAATGCCCTAAATATATGTGTTGGTGCTAATTACATGGCCCACTCGCTGCCCTGCCAGTCACGTGAAAAGAGCAAATGGCCGTGAAGAATGTGCCTAAAGTTTTGTGTTTCTGTGTGGTTACCATGGCTTCTTGTCACAAGCCACCACACTTGCTTTTATTAACTGTAGTTGTTAAAAACATCTCAAGGTTATGAAAAGGTTATGAAACACCTTTATTAGATTTGAGAAACTTTTTGGGGGGTTTAGGAAGCAAAAAGTAACATAAATAAAGGCCAAATGACAAAAAGATAATTTATAGTACACTAGAAACTACTATAATTATATTAGCTCTTTAAATTCGAGGTGGATTCTGATTGGCTGTCAAGGTTTTACAAGTCTAAAAGTCATTCATATTCTGTGTTGTTAAAGCTTTACACTTTTTATTAACAAAACCGTGTTTCATGTGTTACAATGACATCTAAATTAACTGCTTTTATTCAAGTCAAAATATTATTTAACACGGCTAATCAACTTGCATTAGGTTACAACAACAAGTCAGGTCAGGATCAGGTCAGTTAGAAATAACCATCCAGAGTTAACAACTGCGGAGTTTCAGTTTTTACAGTGCTTTTATTGAGCTAAAGCTTTCATATGCCCATGTGGTACTTTTTTTGTCCATTTTGCCAGAATGCGTATTTTGATGACATTTTATTGCTTTGCTGCATTTTTACTAGCATATAGATGACAAATTTCAACTAAAAGCTACAAAGCTTTGTTTGTTAATGTTGAGTCAGAAGTATGATACTTTTTTAATTTCAAAGTTTTGTGAAAGTTTAATGTAGGTTTCCTAGCTTTCTTTTATTTTTTATTTTTTTAGGAAGTATAAAAGTTCCACACTGGTGTTAATACTTTTGTAAAATTGTTTGCAATTCATGTAATTCAGTTCAAACAGTAGGACAGTGGCCAGTAAAAGGAAAGCATGTGATAATACTTAATTTCACAGTCTAAAGATGTGTGAAGTGGCTTGAGAACTGGACTGGAGACCTTGTTTGTTGGCGATAAAGTCAAGGTCAGATTGGAATAGCTCCACAATGGTGGTCTCTGCGGGCTTGCAGTATCGCACAGTCCACAGAACCAGAGGAAATGACTCTCCTCAGTGCACAGACAGCGAATGCTGCAAACAATGGCGATTCAGTCGTGCCATCATCCCCCCTCTGACCGTTTGTCATCACCCTGCTGTTCAGCCCATCCCTCTGAAGGCTCTAGGATTATGACAGTGTTGGTGATATTTGTTTCACTGATACCAATTTGGAGCAACCCCAGTCCAGACTTTTCCTCAGGGTGGAAAAAACTTGAACAAACAATCCCAGAGGTTAACAGTCGCATGAGCGAATCTCAGCCTACGTGCTGATCAAATTATTGGCTGTTTTAAAGATAACGTTATCTTCATTTAAGCCACTTTACAGTGGCAAAGGTCCAGGAGATAGTCCTCTCAACTTCTTCCAGATCCTTCCAGTAATGCCTTTTTTTAATGTTGCAGCACCATTTGCCCAGAGGTGGTCTGTCTGGAAAGGGTGTAAAATGTTTTTACAACCAATATTTGTTTTTAAAGACAACCTTGTTAGATAAAATCTAAATTGAATTCAATTCTATATCACTTGTTTGATGGTTTGATGATCCAATCAAAACCAGATAGATAAAATCAAGTCCCACCCAATGTCATTTGATATACTAAAAGGATGCATTAAAAAGGCTAAAGGTGTTGTGTGTACAGTCTTCAATGTCCAAATAAATGATTTGATACACCACACAATCAGTCTTTCCTGCCTTGTTGTTGTAAACCCACATTGAGTAGGCTGAGTAATTTAGCCTATGTCTGGGAATTTATTACTTCCTAGATCAGTAGCTAGCTATCTAGTCATTTCTGTTAACTCTTTAATGGTCCTATCTTTGATAGGAGAGTGATCTAAAGACTGACCTGATACTGACACTGCTTGTCGGGACACGATAAGATCTCACCTCCGTTTGGCCCCTCGTACCCCTCACTCATCACTCTGACCCTTCAAGAGTCAGTTTCCCTATTGCAACGCTCTTGATCTGTTGTGCAACGGGACACCATTTTCAGTTGAGCATTTCCTCTGTTTACTACATCCTTTAGAAAATAGTTGTGGTATTCAGTAACTGCCCAGAATGTGTTTTTGCTCCATCATCCCAAGGAAAGCGTGTATGGAGGAGCAAGTTACCAAAAAGTTGTACCACACCGAAAGGTTTAAATGCATGCATCCTGCTCAAAAGATCCTTGCGGGGGAGGATAGGATACAGGAAGTAGCTGAAGGGTGACACAGGGAGCAAGCATATATCAAGCCCATCTTCCTGTGTGATAAATCTGAGAGTTCCTCTGTGACCGGAGTCTTGGGAGGCTCCTTCACAGGCGGCTTGTTTATGGCTAAGGAGTTGTTGCTGATTTAGCTGTGGTTGCTCAGCGGTGGGGAAGCCGTGAGCGGCTGCCTGGTCCACTCCCCACATCTGCTTATGCTGCGAATTCACAGCACTGCCATTACCACCACTGGAGTGATTATTGCGCTTGACACGCAGAGCCTGTCTAATGCATGTCAGATGAGGGCCGACGGATTAGATTCGCTGTCAGCTGCGTCTCTCAGCAGAAACCAAGATCCCTGAATAATATCATTCTTGCTCTTTGTTGACTGAACATTCAGGAAATCCCCACTTTTTCAGCAAACAACAAGGGAAAAATCAAGAATTGTCTGTTGTAGACTTAAAAATGATATGGAAAACTGTGGTTTTTGCCAAAGACTTACAAAACAAGTCTCTTTAGAAGATGCCATTTAAAACAAACACTTAAGGCTTGTTTTTCAGGAGGCATTTCAGAAACGATAGGAGCCTTGCTCACGGCGAGGTGAGGTTTTGGTGGATTTCAAAGCTATTTTTGGGACTTTGCCATGACTCAGGAAGAGATTGGAAGCCCTGCAACTGACCTCTCCACTGTGATAAAGCTGCCTAGCCGCTCTCTCTTTTCTCTCGCCCTGACGGTGTCAATGGATCCAGCCAAGGAGGGCAGGAGGATATGTCTACGCTTCCCTGATAGTGTTGGCCAGAAGTGGGTGAAAGGTCAGAGATGGATGGGTGGGTTTGGGGGGTTGCCTCTCGGAGAAAAATAAAGGCAGAAGTGTGACTGAGTTTGGCCCCTAGGAAAGTACGCTGACAATCCTGGACTAAGGCACACTATTAAGCGCATTAAGAAGAAACAGCAGGGAGGCCTTAAGCACAAACAACTGTTTACATTTGTGAACTGTTTGATGGCTCAAGGAATCTTGGGATTTGGGAGGTGGGGAAATCTCAGGATTTGATGGAGACAGCCAGGCTAACAGACTGTACCACATTCATTTCCTGTCACTGCCCCGCTGTTTTATTGGTTTTGCAATGTAACCGTCTCGTGCTGATGTACAAATCCCTCACACATGCAGACAGACTAGGAGTTTTCATTGCCTTTACACTCAACCTATTGACCTGATGTGCTGGAATGGCATTAAACGGACTCGGGTCAATGGGTCAAATCCCACGAAGCACCTGTGCCTGAGGGACCCTTTATCTTCTTCAGAGACAAAGGCATGCTGGCTGCTCTAATTACTCTAGCATATGTTTACTCTGGGCATTTTTGAGTGCTAGTGTCGATGATTCATACCGAAGAGCAGAAGAAGAGGACCAGGACCCCCTTCTGAGACCCTGAATATCATGATGTTATTCCACTGCAACAAAAGGAAGTGTGCTGCAAAGGAGGATTTTCCTTGGTTGATAGTACTGCAGTTATTATCGAGAAAAGTCAATGGCCTTATGTTGTTTTTACAAAACATCTCATGATATTTCTGCTCTTCCACAGAGCCCAGCCCTCCTGGTAACAGTCAGAGGCTCAGTTCAGGGTTTTGTGTATTCGATGTTATGCTTGGAAGCAAGGAGGCTCATCACGGAAGTTTAGTTTCAGTGCGATTGCTGTTCTCAACAGAGCTTTCTGGAGATGTTTTCATTTTTGGCTTCAGAGTGTTTCAGTTCTGGGATCAGATCTTCCTTCTAAATGCAGTACAAGCATGATTTAAACAGTGGTATAAATTTAAAGTTTAAATCTTAAACTTTTCTTAATTTTTTTATTTTTTTGTATGTAATTTTTACCCAGAGGTATAATTATAATGCTAGGCAAGTTTTTTGCACCAAAAGAGTAGTAGTTTTACAAAATGTTCTACTTTCTCTCTGACATTTTTGTTTAGAATAAAGACCTGTTTACATCAACTTAAAAAATATGGTCAAATTTTCGCATTTGTTTTGTCTGTTCAGACCAATTCGTAAGAAACGGCTGAATGAAAATGCAAATTCATTCTCTGACAGTAGGTGGCGCTTAGATGCATTAGCAGCAAATTAAAATGTTTATCGCAATAGTTTTTGCACTGAACATATCTCTTGGTGTAAACACAGGTAGGGCTGTCGTGGTGAAGGAATTTCCCTTGCGGTAATTTTGAGTGGCTCAATAGCGCGGTATGCGGTATTATCGCCATATATATATATATATACACTATATATATATAATCTGTGTGTGTATGTGTTACGATATAATGAGGTCATATTCAGAAACCAATGAAACCGAAACCAAATAGCATTGAAAAAGGAAGTGAAGTAAACAGAAGAGAATGACAAAATAACGATCCACATAACAGAACATAAACCTGACAATAAGATTGTTAGGCTATTGTTAGCCTATATGTATAACAGTTCGTTCTGATCCTCGAATCCGACTGGACAAGAGACTTTCTATTGATATTTCCACCTGCGCGCTTTCTAGACGGGCTGTCAGTCAGTGCAGTTACAGTGTTGCGCCACAAGGTGGTGGAAAGGGACTGTCTTTGAGTGAGTCTTTAAACTGTTCCATCAACTACTACACGTTCAAAAACGCTGATTCATTCAAAGAGAGACAAAATGAAAAACGCTGTTGAAATCATTATAACTTTGAGCGCCACGTTAAAAGGCTCAGCTGACCAATGCGTCGATGCTAAGACTTTCCTTGGACATGACTACCTATTTTCTCAAATATATATGACTTGCAAGTAATCGCACGTGCACAGTTGATCTCTCTCTCATTTGTTGTCTGTTTAGGCTTGTTAAGTGCAAATCTATGGAGCCTCAGTACAAATCAGCATGGTACACATTATGTTATCATTACTAACTTATTTAATATTCAGTACACATGCACGAAGTGTAAAACGAGAAGGGCATAACCCAATGAAAAAAGAAAACAAGCAAAAATCGCGGTTGCTGCGGTTCTTGCATTCCTCTGCGGTTTGCTCGTCAATAGCGCAGTATTGTGATATTGCGGTTATCGCGACAGCCCTAATACACAGGCCTACTCACTCATTGAAACATATACAAAAGGTATAAGACCAATGTAACAAATAAATAATTCTGGTAAATTCTGACTTTGTTGATTTTAAGCCTCTTATATGTTTGGCTAACCTCTTATTGCTGTGGTTCACACTCTTGTACATCATTATTTCAATTATTTGTCCCTTTTAACATAAACAGGTAACTGTTTGAAACTGAACGTGGGAGATTTACAGAGACAGAAATTTAGCAGGTTTAAACTGTTGTGGGTGTTTCATGAAAACATTGCTACTATCTTTATTTTGTCTCCAGAAGAATTGCTTCATCTTCCTGTTATAGAAGCTCAGCTCCAGAGACCCACCCTGCTGTAGTTATACACCCTAGACCAGTGTTTCCCAACCTTTTTTCAGTCGCGGCACCTGAATAATGATAGCACAAATAAAAAATAACCACAGGCCTTCGAATTAAATAAATTGCTTTTTAGTTTTTCAGGTAGGTCTAACAGTAGGGTTAAGATATTTAACTTTTTTTTTTTTTTTTTACCAATTATCTAAATAATGTTTAGTCCTAGAAAGCTATTATTATCAGAACACGTGAGCATAACATAGTGGTTAGCAGATCAATGAATGAGAGGGCAGCGTTACCAGAGTTGGCCATATATATCACACCATGTTACAACACAGTAGCAGAAACAATACTGTACTACATCGATGTTTCCTGTCGGCTCAATGTTTGAGTGGACTTTGCTGTTCCGATGAGCATGAACGTTATACGAGTGGAGCGACTGAGCGGAGCGCACACGCATAGAGCGGAGAGCGTCATACCACGTGAAAGTGAAACCTGAGCGGTGAACTAATTTTCGGCAGCCGAAATTTCTGTGCATCTCTAATTATTGGCGACATCAGAAATGGATATTATATAATAGATGCTTTTTTGAACATTTTAGCAATTTAAAAATATTAAAAAAAGATTTTTTACACGGCACCCCGGTTGGGAAACACTGCCCCAGACAAACAAACATGGCATTAATCTCTCTCTCCTTCTCTTTGTCTTTTTTTTTTCTCAAAGGGGATGCGGGTACTGGTGGATGCCCGAGACAAACTTGGCGTTCCCTGGCAGAACTCCGAGAATGAGAAGCATGGCATGTTTGTTATGTCCTTCGAAAACAAAGCAGGCATGCCTGTCGAACCCTGCACCTTTCAGCTGTACGTCCCAGCCCTGCAGGCACTCTGGAATGATAGTGGCATCCAGGAAGCCTACGGCCGACGGAGTGAGTTTCAGCTGGTGAGTGTAACATGTCACAATACATTTCCTGACAACCTGTGCCATCTGGATACTCTTCACAGGAAGAGCCACATGGCTTTTTGGGTAGTTGGCAACGTGTGTTCTCATAAAACAAATAATCTATTATTTACCTGGGGTAAGTGCACTGCTCAAGGGCACAGTGGTGATCGTTCATAGATAGCCTACTAAAGTGGAGCTTCAATAGACAGCACTTTCAGACAATCTGACTAACCTTTGCAATATATAATGATATTATTTAGTGAGATTATTTAGGAAAATGGTTTACTTTAATAATTATTTAAATGTAAATTTATAAATACACTTCTGTTCAAATGTTCAGTAAGTTTTTTTTAATAATACACTTCCTTCAAGGTATATGTTTTATATGTGTGTTGCCTGGGAATCAAACCCATGATCTCCACCAGTTGATAGCCAAGGGGGTACGGGAAATATGGTAATATTTCAGTGTCAGTTAGATGGAAATCTTTGGCCTAGCTATTAAAGCTAGACACAGGGAGACCTTAATTAAACCTGCTGAGTGCAGAAAAGCAGAGGACGCTTGACTTATTTATGTGCATTTCATCTCAGCGTGTATGTTGCCACAGGACTTTAATGAGTTCAGAAGCTGTGCACAGGAATCTCTCAAACTTTATGTGTATGTGATTCACATACACATCTCTGTCACAGTACCTCTGGATCTTTATGAATTTTTTAAGTCTTGATAGTCCTGAAGATCTAGGTCAATGGAGCAGGATGGAGGACAGGATAGACAGTGAGGAAACGTGAGGAAATGGCACAAATTTCCCTTTATGCATGAGATGATTTGACTTCTTAGTGCTCGTTCTTTTGTCTATAAAGAGAAAATACCTTCATAAAATCTAATTTTTCACAGAAATTGAGGCCATAAAGTGTCTGAAGCATCTCACTGATGCTTCTTATTTTGATGAAGTAGCTCCTGACCTTTTGCTGTGGTCATACTAATTTCAAAGGCTAAGAACAGACGGCTGTAATCTGATAAATCAGATATCGGTGATGTGATGAGTTCATCTGTGGACAGAGTTCCGCCCCAAAACCCCCTGCATTTTTGTTTCTTCTTCACAAGTGGGATCATCGGCTCTTGCTATACTGTGATTAAAAAAAGACAATTTACTAATCCTTTACTTACTTTTTATTTACTTTTATTTACTTACCACCTCTTTGGATAAAACTACATTTCGGACTGGCATACATTATCACAGTGGTTCTCACTCCAGTCCTCGGGACCCACAGCTCTGCACATTTTGCATGTGTCTCTTATCTGACACACTCTGTTATGTTCATGAATCTCTCTCCTAACGTGCTGATGATCTGCATCAGGTGCGTTAAATAAGGGAGACATACAAAATGTGCAGAGTAGTGGGTCCCGAGGACTGGAGATGAGAACCACTGCATTATCATAATGAAGCCAGTTTATGATATCTAAGATATTACTCAGTTCAGCATTTTTTTGTGCATTAAAATTTGATACACTACCCCATAAATCACAATGATTTTGTCAAACTTGAATTGTGACTTGAAAAATGCAAAATCTTTAAAATAATATGCGTTTTTAATGACTGAAGTTCAATAGTGATATCTGTAGAGCAGTGTTGGGCAGTAACGCGTTACTGTAATTTGATTACTTTTTTTGTAACGGAGTAATTTAACGCGTTATAATTTTCTAAATAGTAATTAGAGTATAGTTACAAGCCAAGGTCTCTATACGTTACGGCCGCATTACATTGCTGACAGAATACAGTGTTTTCTAATCTAGAGATTGTAAAAAGGACGTAGCACACGTACTGTCGAGTCAAGTGCCAGTGGATTAGAGACCTGCACCCGCGAGACCTGACGCAACAGAGTGCGGCGCGGGACAAGATGGGCGAGTGCTGGTGCGGGCGGGTAGACACTCGTGTGTGTGTGTGGGATGCGGGAGAAAAAATGATTCACGGGACTCCCGCAAAATAGAAATATCTAAACATAAAATACCTAAAACAGATCAATTGTTATTCATCTATTGCACAAAAGCAATATGAACTAATATAACATATAAACGATTAACAGGTGCAAGCGTATGCAGAGTTTCTATTTAGGCTATAACACGTGTTTGCAGCGTTGAGCAATGCAGTGCTGAAATTTGCGTGCTCACGTATCCTCTCATTGTAACACACAAATTGTAGACATTGTGAAAGATTCATTATGCATATATTTATTGTGTTATAACAGAGTGCCTATTTATAATACAGATACTGATATGTTACGTGTGGCATCGATGCATCGTATCGTCAGACATCGTATCGATGTATCGATCCATATCGATGAATTGTTACACCCCTAAGTTCCAGTGTAGTGCAGTTAAATAATTCAATAAAATACTGAATAAAATGAACAGACTGCAATGTCTGTTGTTTCTTCCCATTGCAAAAGAAGATTAAAAGAAAAACCAAAAACCCACAACACAGCACTTTAACTGTAGATAAAATTAGAGAATGACTGAGAATTCAAAACCTAGTCCATCAAATGATGGAAAGTAATTATAAATACAGGACATTTAAAGAGAGGAACTAAGAATCTTGTAACATCCAACATCTAGGCGAATAAGCTTTTTAAGTATACTTCTACCATTTTAAACCCATTATTTTGCATGTTTTACTCGGCTGTGGAGTTTGACCCAGCTGTTTTTCCTTTCGGTCTGTGACATGAGTCTCATTGCGTCGAACTGGCCGTTTGGGCCAAAGGGCTGGTGCCCCAGCCTCCCTCAGCCTCTTTTCTTCTCTCTCCTCTGTGAAGGCTTGTTTGTTTGTGAGTCCATTCAGAAGTCAGTGAGTGGGAGGACATTACAGGGCTCAGCCTGTCCGACTGAGTAACTCTTGTTCCCTATTGACCAGAGGCCCAGAATTAACCCTGTCCTACAAGTCTTCATTTCTACCCCAAACAAAAGTGCGCCTATGGAAATGCTGCTCTTTTTTTTTTCCTTAACAGAAAGTCTCTTTTCTACCAGGACTGCAAGTTGTACATGCTAATGAGACCAGAAACTCTCTTTAGATCCCACAAACAGTACAAATATCAGAGATCGCATTGAATCAATTCAGAATTTGAAAAACACTATGAGGTTTCTGGATTTGAAAATTGAAAAACAAAGGAACATTATGATGCAAAGACATATTTTAGTAAATTTGTGATATTGCTCATGCAACTCTTTGTGCAGATGGTCAGATGTTCTTCTTCCATTGATGCTCTTGGGATCATCTCAACATGAACATCAGCCTTTTCATTAACTTGCAGTGTTAATGCATCACTTTGTGAGGAACTTGGCTCAGTTTCCACCAGTGTCTGCTCCGTTCCTCCAGCTCTTGGGAGGATTGTGGTGCAAGGGAGGGCCTTCAGTACTCGGTTGTAGTCAATTAGAGGATCTCTTTAGGGAAAAGCATTGGCATTGACCATGAGAAACAAGCATAAGACTTTTTGTCAGTATGCAACCCTAAATTAATGTCAGAAATCTGTATGATCATTGACCGTGATAAATGTTAAGGGATTGTATTGAGTTGGCTGCATGGATCTTGATAAATCTCTGTGATAAATCTCTGTGATCCCTCCACCAGTATTTACAGTATGAGGAAAATTGAAAGGAAAACTGGCTTTAATGTGTGTAAGACTAGCACATTAACACAAAAAAACTAAGAAAATGGACTGGATCCATTGTCAGAAGGCTGCCAAAATCACAAGACTCGCTGTTAGCGGGAATGCGGCTCTGGTCATATTGTGATTGGACATAAACCTTGCTTTGCTTGAAGGCTGCGGAGAGTTCATGGACTGGAAGCAAGTATTGCTGCTTTGTTGAAGGCTGACGCTGCTGCCCCCCCCCCAAGAAACCACACTAGATCTCAGCCACAGCCCAGACCAGAGAAGTGATCTGTCTGTGCAATGCAGCTTCACCACAGTTGAGTCAGAGCCATCATAAATTCCTTCCTGACAAACTCACCGTAGTCTTCACATCCATCCAAAAGGGTGGGTCACTTGTATACAGTATCAAGTAAAGTGAGACACTAAGTTGAATAATCATTGTAAAACTTTTAAAATATTTTTATGATTTATAGGAAAGCGTAATTCCTTCCAAATTAAATTCAATGATTTGATTTGAAAGTGACAATGAAAATTGAGAAATTACAATGTTACTACTATTGGCAGAGGCTGTGCATCCATAACAGGGTGATTGTCACAAAGACTGTGTTTTATATTATTGGTCATATTTCACCTCTAAATCAACAAAAAATATATTTTGCGTAAAGAAAATGGAGCCATTAAAACTTTTTGCATTGTGACATTATTTTCATTACAGTAAAACAGATTACAACAGACTACACACACCATTTTAAATTATTTTAAAGAATATAATCTGCATAAAAAGCAGTTTAAAAATGATTCTGTAATGTACAAATACTCAGTTGCTCATGATTATCCTTAACTGTGATAACTTTTTTTCTTTTGATTTGGAAATTAAATGTATGGAAGATCATTTCCATAAAAAATAAAAAGGTAATTGTCTCATGATTAAGACGGTATTTCTTGTAATAGTAGTGACTGCCTCCCAGTTTTTAACTTCATGCTTTATATCGCACAATATGACTTTAATTTTCATAATTGCGATTTGCATCTTGCAAATGTGACTTTATAACTCACAATAGCTGTTTACATACACCCAAATAATAAATTTTTAATTGGATTGATGGCCCAATTGGACTTGAAAGCCTTTAGGTGATCCAAATTTTGATCGGATTGAAAGGGGTTATTGTAGATCTGAAATAATACAATCAACAGGAACAATTCAGCATGTAAATGATTAAATCTGACTACTTTCTTAATCGGATTTGGTCTGTTGTTATTGTTTTTACCATAAGGACATGAAGTAAATGTTCAATTGATCATTTTTATTTTGCCCCGTGATAGTCAGGACCTGATGAATGGAGACATTCCAGTTTTTC